GGGCGCGGACAGATGGACGGACACGCAGATAGCGCTGACCGACAGCCCCACCGCCCAACCCGCCCTCGGCGCCCCGCCCCGGGCCCGCCGGGTTCCCGTCAGGACACGGCGGGGCGGGCGCGGCCCGGCCCCTCCGCCATGTTCCGTGTGCCTGGGCGGGGGCGGTGGCTGAGGAGAACCCGGGCCGGGCCAACCGAACCCCGGCTCAGGCACCGGCACCCCCCGCACCCCGGCCGGGCCAGCCGAGCCCCGGCTCAGGCACCGGCACCCCCCGCACCCCCGCCCGCCACCCCCGAGGCGCTGAGAGCCGGCCGGGCCCGGCCCCGCGCGGCGCTGGGCTCGGTTGGAGCGCGAGAGGTAAAGGAAGCGAGTGACACGTTAATAGAGAAGCACCAACAAGGGTTTCCTTCTGTTAAAGGCGTTCACGTTCGTTATTCCCCTGAGGGAGGGTCCGTCGCTGCTTGGTTTCTTTTCAGCGCGACTCTGCTCCGCAGTGCGGGGGGGGGGGGGACACCGGCTGATAAGGCTCGAACAGCAAAGCCCTTTGGAAACCGATAGGCCATTAAATTGTGGAGAACAAAAAAGGTTCGTTTTGCTGACTCCCCGGTTTTGGGGTTTCAGATCTCTGCGTGACTTGGTTAAAATTTGTGCTGAGTGGTTTTAGGCCCTGCAGCAGGAGGAAGGAATGGGCCCAAAGTGCATGGCGGTTAATGAGTAGTGCCTGCAGTTAACGGAGGGGTTACTCAGTAGTCTCTGCTTTAACTTGTAACAGTCATTTTTGAAAAACAGGCTCGCAAACAAGTCAGAAGAGGCTTTGATATTAACACTTTTTATCGCCCTGGCTGTTTTGCTGTTGAATAATGTGGTGCGGGTGTCCTGGATGAGATGGATGTGCTCCCGGGTTATCTCACATGGAAAGGTGTGAGATCATCTTCCCGACTCTGAGCTCTCACTTGTTTGTTTTTGTTAGGACGACGAAACACGGTTTCACGTTGAATGGAAGGGCAAACAAGCAAACAAACAAAAAAATTCAAGACAATATTTTAGCAGACATGAAAAAAAAAAAAAACTCATAGAGCAGCCTGAAAAGTGCTCATTTGCTCCTGCAGTCATTTCATAAACTCATATGCATAAGCTAAAGTGATTTAGGAACCATGTAAAAGAATGAGAAACAATTACCAGTCCTGCAGGAGAAGGTGTTGCTTTCATTCCATGTTTTCTAAACACAAGAAGGAATACCACATTGAAGGTGCTTGACAGGGCTGGATAATAAATTGAGATTTAGATTCTGCTTTGGAGTGTTTGGTTATGCTGGTGAACCAAAGGGATATATAATTAAAGTCAAAATGCCACTCTGATATGAGCTGGGGAAAGAAACAGTGTTGCTCAGCTTTGCCTTTAGGAATACCCAATAAAAATGCTTTGACTTTAAAAATATCTAATAAAAATGGCAAATTTCAGTAACAACAGTGGCTTGGTTGCCATAGTGCTCTATTTTGCTCTATCTTCTTAATTTGCATTGAAAAAATTATAACTCGAGTTTCTTTGAGTAAAACTAAGATTTGACTTTGATGGGTATAGGTGAGCTGAAGTTCAGAATCAAATGTCCTGTGCCTGAAGAAAGTTCTTATTGGCATTCCAGGCATTGTGTTAAGGTGCAGTGACAGATTAAAATGTAGCAAATCCTATATTTAGATTTTATCAAGGTATAATTTTGTCTGCTGACCTGTACAGTCAGCAACTCTGGATTTCTTTGTATTTTCTTGTACTTTGTATACTTGTATATTCTTGTACTGATTTCCATGTTTCTTGTTTAGGTTACACTGCACTACTGGGGTTTCCTTCTTTCCCATGGAACATTAAATTTTTTTTTCCCCCACTTGTTCATTTGAACAACTGACTCTGTCTGCTCTGGTGCAATTTGAACAGTTTCTGCTCCCAGAAGCTGCAAACAGATGCCCAGAGCAGATGCTGGGATAAATTGCTTTCCACTGACTCCCGGATATTCCTGAAAAGCCCGAGACTCCTGATGCTTTGTAAACATTTCTTATTATGGGGACACACAAAGATTAGAATCACCAAACAAAAACAAACCCAAACAAACCAACGAACCAAATAAAACTACCAAAAAACCAGCAAAATACCCTAAAAACCCAAGAACAACAACAACGAAAAAACCCGAAAAACAAGAACAACAACAACAACAAAAGGAGTGTAGGAAAAACGCCACTCCAACCCTGCAGCTCCTGCTGCAGCAGAGGCTGAGCAGGGTGGCTGTAGCTGCAGATTAATCCGAAGGCCCAGTTTAATTCCATGGAATTGCACTGGTGCAAAGGTCTGTCGAGTTGCTGCAATGGGATCTCACCCTCACGTGCATAGTTCTTACTGGATGGTGCTTACAAATTGGTGTGAGTTAAACAGAAACACGTGTTTATTAAGGCTCTGTAAAAGTTAAGTTTAAATTTCCTGGCCACAGCTTTCAAGAGCAGGAAAGTCTTCTGTCTTGGTAAGAAGTGCTCATGAGTAAAAAAGGAATTCTTTTTCTTTCCTCCCTCTCCTCCTTCCACCCTCCTTCCCCTCCAAGGGATGAACAGGGTCTGAATTGCTGTTTTTTCCTGAAATGCCCCTTTTTTTACCTTTCTGACCTTTGAACTCCACGGAAAGCACCATCTGCTGTTGAGGTACCTTGCAAAACCTTTCCCCTGAGGCTTTTATTGGGATTAATTAACACTCATAATGGAATTTATCATTATAAATTACTGCTGGATCATACTGAAACTGCCAACAAATCTTTCTGCTTGCAAGAGGATGGGGAAAAAACCCAGAAGTTGAAGTGTAACTATAGCTATTACATTTTGAAAGCTGAAATTAAGGTAGTGTGCAGTTTCCCAAGCAGAGCCTACAGAAGGGAAACAAGGAACAAAAAAATTATAACTGGTTTATTGAGTTTTTTTAGTAAGATTGATTTTTATCTGCCAAAGGAGTTTCAAGGACTGCAGACGTAGGGTCAGCACGAGGTTTTCATTACACTCGAGTCTTAAAAAATTATTAAAAGTTAAATTCTCTCATCCGTTGTACTTTGACTGAATTTGCCTTAAAATTAATTTGAAGCATTGTGGCAATCAGTGGACACAGAGAGCCACTAGATGGCATTTTGAATCTGGTTTTTACAGCTGTGGAAGTTGAGTCACTGTCCTCAGTGTGAGAGCTCCTGTGCCCTCAGCCAGGAGCTGTAAAGCCTTGCTGGTATAGTTACGGTCAGCCCTTGGTCTCCTTCAGCACAGCTGGTAAAAGGACAGCACAGCACATGTTCTAGAATTGTTCAGCCTCAAAACAAATAGCAGCAATAACATTACATTGGAGTTTAGAGCTTTAAAACCGCACAGTACTTAAATATTTATGCTTTTTAATTGGATGGTTGGGATCTGAAGAAACAGCAAAGAATATAAAATGCTTCCTTTTACATTTTGCTGCACCGTGGTAAAAATTAGATCATGTTCTTCAATCCAACAACTGAAAAAAAACCAAAACCCACCCTGTAAGTGAAATCAAATTTATTTCTGAAGGAATAGTATAGTTCATTTTCCCTCTGGAACTGAACACCTTGGGGCACCTGAGCATTTAAAGCTCTTTACAATAGCTGAGCTTTTACAATAACCTTGGGAGCTAAACATTATCCTTCTGTTGCTGGTGACTAAACCACCCTCAAAGAAGCTTAAGTACTGTGTTCAGGTCACAGAGAGGACACTCTCGGGGGTTAAATAAACTTTTTTTAAATTTTATTAGACTAAGTGGTTCTAGCTGGGGAAAAACTGGACAGAGTTTTGGTATCCAAGTGCAAAGTGTGAGAGACTGGGTGAACAGAGCCCTGTTTATAGATCTCAAATGAGAAAAACCCCTGAAAGCAGCCCTCAGTGACCTGCTCTGGGAACATGGGCACTGACAGTGATGCAGCATTTCAGGGACAGCTTCGTATGGTAATTAATATTCATTACCTTTTAAGCAGGAAACTATTTGAAATCTGCCCCTCATAAAATGTATTCAGGCTATCAGACATGTAAGGTTCTTTTGAAAGACCTTTTACATTTTAAAATATCTCTTCATGTAATTAATTTTTCTTAATTTTCATTGGGACATACAATTAATGACAACACTAATTTACCTTTGACTGAGTGAGAAGCCATCCAAGATACACAATATGTCAGAATTAAAGTGAAAGAATTAAGCTGAAGCAGAAGCTGTTAATCCAAAAAGATGGGGAAAACTGCAACATAGACAAAAAATAGTTGTTTCTAGAATTTAAAAAACATGTGAGTTACTCTTACAGCTGTACTTAGTAACTCTTATCTGTACTAAGACCATTCTACTGTAATTTAGGGTTTCTATGGAACTGAGGGTGAACAATCAAACATTCTTTGATCCAAAACAGATGCATCAGCTGAAAATATCCAACATAATGAAAGCCCAAGAAAAACAGTACCTTGGGAAAAGTGAGTCTACTGAAAGTAAAGGATTAAGATACGCACACTTGGTTTTAAAGTCTCATTTATTTCATTTGTTAAAGAAATAAGATACAATAAATAGATTTCCTGCAACACCAGTTTGCATTACTAGCAAAGGTACATTCACGACAGCTGAAACCGCTGCAGCTTGTAAGGATTTCCTGAAAAACAATGCAGAATTAGTCCTCACAACACCCCTGTGAGGTAGGTCAGTGCCAGCCTCTTTTTGTGGAAGAGGAAGCTGAGGAACACCAAGTTCCAGTGGGTGTCCCAGGACAGCCAGAGCTGGAGGCCAGAACTGCATCCTTCATTCCTTGCACTGTCCCACACCCAGTGCCTTTGGCCCTCTCTGAGACAGGAACAGCCCGGAGGAGCTGCTGCTCTCCCTCCTCCCGGCTGTCCTTTGCCTCGCACATCTTTGACTGCTCCTCCTGAGCTGAGGAAAGTGATAACATCACTCCCTGTCTCATCTGCACACACCAAACAGGCCCTCTGAAGGCAGACTGTGGGTAATCACAGGTCACATCCCAGTATTATTTAGTGCCAGAGCCTGGATGTGTCACTGAGCTGCAGAGCAGTGATACCAACACATGGCTTTTCTAAAGCAACCTGCTTTTGGAGAGGTAAAAGGACTCAGGAGGGCGTGCAGGGAGATCCCTGCCAGCCAGAGGGAAGGGATTTGTGCAGCAGTGCACACTCAGTGCAGTCCAGACCTACCCACTGGGTCCCTAAAGTAAACAAAACCCCTTTTCTGTAGGGCAGACAACAAAGGAGGTCACACTGCAGAGCACAGCACTGAACTGAGGTAGAATTGGAGCCGTTTAGGACCACAGAGCACACACCTGGACTGCTGGAGATGTCCCCTTCCCCCACCTGAGCAGGGCAGCACAGCCCTGTGTGATCTGTGGGCTAAACACTGCAATAAAATGGCCTGCTTTCAAGCACAGCATTTACACTGGTACTGTGAGTTATAAAATAGGATCTTAGAGCAGTAAGTTTAACGTATAGATCTAGTTTTCATACCAGTGCCTACCCGAGGCAAGAACTTTCCTCTAGTGCTACTTGTGCACTCTGTCAGCAGACAGCAAGAGTACAGTGCAAGCAATGTTTAAATCAGAGCTCAGCAAATGCTTACAACAGATTGGTAAGGAAAATTTAAGTCAAATTTACCCCAAATTCTTCATTACTGTTTCCTCATGTATTGAATGAGACCATTATTGTGACCATAGTAGATCACTACGTAATTTCCCATTTTACATCAAGTTGGATTTTAATTGCATTTTCATTTTTTTTAGAGTTTCAGCTCTTGGACAACACTCTAGTTTACTCAGCTATCCTTTGTACTAAATAGTGCTTGTTACAAAGATCCCATTTCTCAGAAGAACGAGCACTCCAAATAAAGCAGAAAACCAGCAGATTGTTCCCCTGCCAGCAGAGTGTGCATGGAAATGCTTGTCCTGTGTGTTCCATGAGCGGTCTGGGGACCAGAGTTTCTGTTTAGAGTACGTCAGATGTGGAAGCTCTTGGATATCCCGGGGCCATTCTGAGTTTTGTTCAGGCCTTGAAGGAAGCTCGAACAACTCTGCCCTTGAGAGGCTGAGGGGGGCGGAAATTATTGGCCATTTGGACCCTCTGGTCCTCCTCGCTGGTGAAGAGGAGCATCCGGAACTTCTCCAGCTGCAAATTCAGGGGAAATAATTCACTGCTTAAGGGGGCAATCAATGGTAACTGGTTTTTAAAGGGACCAAAGGAAAGTGTTCATTGTATTTTAATCAGTTAATAGAGAGTATTGACAGCAAATAACAGAAGCCCTGATTATTGAACAGGCTGAATATTCAGTGTTTTAGCTCAGCCCCATTTCAAATCAAAACAGTCACTGCCTGCTGATCCAGCACTGAATCCTTCAAGAACAGAGAGAATATCAACAGTTTACCTGTTTCTCAGAAATTCTGATGGGTTCTTTCAGCACTATCCATGTTACACTCTCATTAAGGGGTGGTGTTGTCAGAGAGCCAAGATATGTCCAATAATCAAGACTCAAGGGCAGGAGACATTTAGGGTTGAAGTTTCCAAACTGAGCTTTTGTTCCCTGGGGGGAAAAAAAAAAAAAAAAAAAAAAAAAGACTTGAAATTTATCTTTGTACTTTTAAGTGCAGGTTAAATAACTTTTTTTGAAAGAGAAAAATAACGCTAAAGTAATATTAAAAACTAGGGGAAAGCTCTGTAAAGGTTTGGCTGCTTTATAACAGCTGTTAGACAGAAGCAGCATGGCAAGTGTGATTTCTGCTGCTGGATTGCTGGACTGTGAGGCCTTGTCTCAAATAGTGCTTTCTAAAGGATACCCCAGAAATAAATTTAAAGAGCTGAAGACTTACTTTAAATTTTACCATGTACAAAGCATCAGTGAGTCTGTTCATACCAGCATGTTCTTTCCCAATCTAAAATAACAGAATAGACAGGTTAAATAAGAAGAATTTCAACTGTGCTTTGAATAGGTGTTTTCTTATCTGAATCTCAACATTCCCACTGAAGTTCAACAGCAATTTGCAATGAGCTCCTGCTTCCAATAAGTCATGTGTTTTCCTTAAGCACCTCTTAAATATGTGGCGTGCTCCTCAAACACTTGACAGCATGATGCTTTTCATCGTGTAAATATGCTATTTTTGCCATCCTTACCTCCAAGAAAACACCAACTACTGCCAGGCCATCTGGAGCTGCTGCTGCTTCTCCAAATGTTGCATATTTTCTGCCATTCCAATGAACTAAGTGGAGCTGTAAAGAAAAATAACAAATAGAAATGATTAGTGGTAGAAGCTGCGAACGTGGTTTCCCCCGTGTTAACAGCACCAACAGCTGTTCACAACACAACAATTGTGTGCAAAAGGCATTGCTGGAAACACGAACAAGTTCAGCCTCTGGGCTGGTCCCTTAAATGTGTGGACAGGACTAAACAAGTTTTCTAAATATCAGCCCATACTGGGGTGACATGGCCAGGTTTGGTGGTGGGGGAGCCATAGGGGTGGCTTGGGGGAGAATTT